CTGAGTTTTTGTTTTTTTGTTTGGCATATATGCTTCGTGTGTTTTAGGGTTGTCGTTCTGTCCGACTTTTATCGTAGAAAAACTGTTTCGTTGAGTGGGATTGGGGGTTTTATGTGGGATGGCGACGGATCTGTCTGACAACTAATCAAGATTTATTATAATAATAAAATAATGCTGTGTTTTTCATCTTTCTTGTAAAAATATGTAGAATTCCTATAATAAATTAATAAACTTTTTCTTAAAAATGTATATTTCTTTCTTGATTCTCTACTTTTTTATATAATATAAAAGATTATATTCTACCATAGTAGCTAAATAATACAGTTTCATTATAGTATAACTCAAGGCTTTAGAATGTGTTACATCACTTCATCAGGGTTCGAATTTCCCTAAAAACAAAAATCACATTTGTGAGAGAAGCTTGGGCTTGTGTCAAAAGCCTATAAAATTAACATGATAGTCTCGTAACAGGCAATTCAGCTATCCACAAACATTAGTCGGATGACATTCCAAACTCGGAACAAGCTATGTGGTAGCCCATAGATCTCATGGATCTGAGCCCGCTTGGACCTCATGGTGTCCGTTAAACTATTGACCTTTGAAGAAGTCTACAATGATACACTTTGGTGTGTTTCTACCAAAGCTGGCTGAATCAGCCGATAGCGTATATAAAAAAGAAGTATAACTCAAAACATTTAGTCATTGAAAAAAACGTGTAGATTTAATATAAAATAGTATAGACATACACACTCTTTCGCAAAAAGAAAAATCCATAACTTAATATGTAGAATCGTGAAAGTAATAATAGCAAACAACATCAAAAGTGCTCAAATAAGCTCCTAAAACATACACTAAACTTCAAAAAAACTATAATATCCTAATTTTAAGAATATAAATATATATGGAAATACCTATATCACCAAAGTGTATTTATCTTTTTGGTTACTTGTCCAGAGAAAACTTTAAAGTTAAATGTGTTTGAGTTGAAGTTGCATTAAGATGGGTGACCTATCGGGAAGTGTTTTGGGTATCGTGTGAGTGAAGACAAAACACATGAAAAGATCGCGTCATAATTGTAGAATCAATATTTCATAACTTTCGAACCTTCTGGCTAACGCACCCGCTGTTGGACAGATATGTAGCCCATGGGCCGAGAGAGGACGTAAGGGCACACTCATAAAGTCGGTCCAGGCGTTACAAGTGATATAAGAGTCAAACCAAGACGATAGTGTGGAGCCACAAAGGCTCACACCACCGGGAATGACGGCTCTGGTGCGCAGCGAGGACGTTACACTCTGAGTAAAAATGATTTGTAACATTCCGATTTAAGAAATATGAATATATATGTAGAAAGACTTAAAATAATTGATTTGGACACCTATGTTACAAAAGTGTACTTGTCTTTTTAGTCATTTGTCATGAACGTATTCCAAAATTAAACGTGTTTGAACTGAAATAGCTTTAGAATGGATGATTTACTGGGAAGAGATTTCCATTATAGTGTAAATAAGAACAAAACACAGGAAAATCGCGTTGTGATTACAAAATCAGTATTTCATGACTTTTAAATCTCTTGTCTAATACATCGACCATCAAACAGGAGTATAGTCCACTGCTAACACATCAACCGTCATACATGAAAGAAGCCCATTGATAGAGTCGGCTGAAGCATTATAGAAACTCATCAAAAGAGCATGAAAGTTGTGTTCATAATAAATAGAAAACTAAATTCATTAGATCTATAGTCTTCTTCCCATTGTAACTTTTAGGGCCCTACAGTTGTCTTTCCAAAAACTATAATTCAAGAGAGACAAAACTAGCCCTTTGTAAATTATATATAGAATAAAAGAATAATAGGTTTAGCCTTCCAACTTGAGTTCTCTCACAATTTAACGATAAATAAAATATATCAATATTAAAATCTACTAGTATGATATCTCGATAACAAGCAGATTCAATTGCTTGTTATTATTATTTTATCAGTATTACAATTGATTACAAAACAACGATATAATGATTATCAATAATTAGACACTAACTTCCTCAATCTCTTTGTGTCTGTGAGACGATCAAGTTTAGCTTGACTCTTGAGAATCCTAGCTCGCCTCAACGAGGACATAGATGATCTTTTTGATCTCCTCGGATAAGGGTTTCCAAAACATGCAGCCACAGAGTTGAAGCATGGACATTTGAACACATACACTTGTCCAGTAGGAGAGTCGACCAAGATACCCACATCGACATTACACAGTCTCATTTGTGCATCAACCTCTCTAAACAGATCATCTAGGTGTTCAAAAAACGTCTCATGCTGTGAGCTTTTCTTCTCAATGTCTTTTATTTCAATTTTTTCGCGACTCATATTTTTATTTTTTATTTGTTGCTCTTGTTGTTACCACTCTATTCTATTATATATATAGATCAAGAAGGTTAAACAGCAATGTGCCATTTATACAATATTTGAGAAATACTTTATTGGTGGGAAAATAACAACAAAACCAAATAAAATATTACTAATATATAACTTTACTTATCTTAAAAGATTTCATAGAGAAGAATAGATTTCTTCTAGATTTTATTCTATATATATATATATATATATAGTATTTTAAAGAAAATGACACACATCAAATTTCAAATCTATATATAAATACGTTTTTTTGCAAACTAAATCACAATAGTCAAAATTTCCTAATTTCTATTTTGGAATTTTGTGCAAACAGATATTAATTTTTTAATTTGAAAATGAATACTTAGAAACATAATGTTTTTTTTTCTAAATATAGCACCAGAAAATATTGAACATACTCTAACTGACGGACATTATATAATCGTTAAGCGATTGCTAGTGTTCAGTTTCTTTTTATTTTTTTGTAATCTAAAATATATTTCAATCCAAAACTCTAAATTCAATTTAAGAGAGGATAATATATTTAGATTTCAAAAAAAAAATTTGTGTATGATTTTTTAGTAAACTATATAAATTTTTATTTTCCAATCGAGTTTAATTTCAAAAATATCAATTAAATTAGAACACCTTTTGATGATATCGTAGAAATAGTATCTCTCAATATTCTTAGTGAAAATTCTATTTATATATAAATGGTAGAGATTGTAACAAGTTACAGTTTGGCCGAGTGGTCTAAGACGTCAGATTTAAGCTATGGTCTGAAAGTGCGTGGGTTAAAATCCCACAGCTGTCAGTTATTGTGTTTGTTCTTTTTAAATCTGTGTAGCCAGTCATCAGAGCTCCAATTTTGCTCTATTCTGGAGAATTTTTGAGGTAATTTTGATCATAATTTATCAAAATCTTTTATTCCAATTGAATTGGTACTGTAGAGTTTACAATTCTCCACTTAAGTTTTTGTTCGATTTCTGAGTTTTTGTTTTTTTTGTTTGGCGTTTATGTTTCGTGTGTGTTAGGGTTGTCGTTCTGTCTGACTTTTATCGTAGAAGAACTGTTTCGTTGAGTGGGATTGGGGGTTTTATGTGGGATGGCGACGGATCTGTCCGACTACTAATCAAGATTTGTTATAATAATAAAAAATGTCGTTTCTTTCATCTTTCTTGTTAAAGTATGTAGAATTCTCATGATAAATTAATAATTTTTTTTCTTAAAAATATATTTGTCTTTCTTTGATTCTCTATTTTTTATATAATATAAGAGATTATATTCTACCATAGTAACTAAATAATACATTTTCGTTATAGTATAACTCAAGGTCTTAGAATGTGTTACATCGCTTCATCAGGGTTCGAATTTCCCTAAAACCAAAAATCACATTTGTGAGAGCAGCTTGGGCTTGTGTCAAAAACCTATACAATTAACATGATAGTCTTGCAACAGGCAATTTAGCTATCCACTAACAGTACTCGAAAGGCATTCCAAACTTGGAACAGACAGTGTGGTAGCCTAAAGATCTCATGGATCTGAGCCCGCTTAGAACTCATGGTCTCTGTTAAACCATTGAATGTTGAAGAAGTCTACACTGAAACACTTTGGTGTGTTCTTACCAAAGCTGGCTGAATTGGACGATAATGTATATAAAAAAGAGTATAACTCAAAACATTTAACCATTGAAAAACATGTAGATTAAATATAAAATAGTAGAGACATATACACTGTTTAGCAAAAAAAAAAAAATCCAAAACCAAATGTGTAGAACGTGAAAGTAATAATAGCAAACAACATCAAAAGTGCTTAAATAAGCTCCTAAAACACATACTAAACTTCAAGAAAACTATAATATCCCAATTTTAAGAATATGAATAAATATAGAAATATCTATGTCACCAAAGTGTATTTATCTTTTTGGTTACTTGTCCAGAGAAAACTTTAAAGTTAAACGTGTTTGAGTTGAAGTTGCATTAAGATGGGTGACCTATCTGGAAGTGTTTTGGATATTGTGTGAGTGAAGACAAAATACAGGAAAAGACCGCGTTATAATTGTAGAATCAATATTTCATTACTTTCGAACCTCCTAGCTAATGCACCCGCTATTAGACAGATATGGAGCCCATGGGCCGAGAGAGGACGTAAGGGCACACTCATACAGTCGGTCCAGGCGCTACAAGTGATATGAGAGTCAAACCAAGATGATAGTGTGGAGCCACAAAGGCTCACACCATCGGGAATGACGGCTTTGGTGCGCAGCGAGGACGTTGCACTCTGAGTAAAAATGATTTGTAACATTCTGATTTCAGAAATATGAATATATATGTGGAGAGACTTAAAATCATTGATTTGGATACATATGTTACCAAAGTGTACTTGTCTTTTTAGTCATTTGTCATGAACGTATTCCAAAATTAAACGTGTTTGAACTGAAATAGATTTAGAATGGATGATTTACCGGGAACTGATTTCCATTATAGTGTAAATAAGAACAAAACACAGGAAAATCGTGTTGTGATTACAAAATCAGTATTTCATGACTTTCAAATCTCTTGTCTAACACATTGACCATCAAACAGGAGTAGAGTCCACTACTAACTCATCAACCGTCATACATGAAAGAAGCCCATTGATAGAGTCGGCTGAAGCATTACAGAAACTCATCAAAAAAGCATGAAAGATGTGTTCATAATAAATTAGAAAACTAAATTCATTATGATAATCCAATTAACAATACGAAAAGATAAAAAAAAGTGATTTGCTTCAAATATTACACCACCGAAATTATTTAATAACTTTTTGAAGGAAAAAATCAAACAAGGATCGATCTTGTATGATATATAGTACTAGATATTAATATTATTTTTCTTCTTCTTCAGTTCATCTTATTGTTTGAGAGCATCAAGTAGCTTCTTTCATCTCCGTATTGTTATGCTTCATATTATCCAGAACAACTTCAAACTTTTCTTTTAAGGCAATTAGCTCCTCCAAGGTTAGATCTATAGTCTTCTTCCCATTGTAACTTTTAGGGGCCTCTAGTTGTCTATCCAAAAACTATAATTCAAGAGAGACAAAACTAGCCATTTGTAAATTATATATACAATAAAAGAATAATAGATTTAGCCTTCCAACTCGAGTTCACTCACAATTCAACGATAAATGAAATATGTCAATATTAAGATCTACTAGTAGGATGATCTCGATAACAAGCAGATTCAATTGCTTGTTATTGTTATTTTTATCAGTATTACAATTGATTACAAAACAACGATATTATGATTATCAACAATTAGACACTAACCTCTTCAATCTCTTTCTGTCGTTCCAAGTCGTCTGTGAGACGATCAAGTTTGGCTTGACTCTTGAGAATCCTGGCTTGCCTCAACGAGGACGGAGATGATCTTTTCGATCTCCTCGAATAAGGGTTTCCAAAACATGCAGCCACAGAGTTGAAGCATGGACATTTGAACACATACGGTTGTCCAGTAGGAGAGTCGACCAAGATACCCACACCGAAATTACACAGTCTCACTTGTGCATCAACCTCTCTAAACAGACCATCTAGGTGTTCAAAAAACGTCTCAATCTGTGAGCTTTTCTTCTCAATGTCTTTTATTTCAATTTTTTCGCGACTCATATTTTTATTTTTTATTTGTTACTCTTGTTGTTACGACTCTATTCTATTATATATATAGATCAAGAAGGTTAAACAGCAATGTGTCATTTATACAATATTTGGGAAATACTTTATTGGTGGGGAAATAACAACAAAACCAAATAAAATAGTACTAATATATAGCTGTACTTATCTTAAAAGATTTGATAGATAAGAATAGATTTTCTCTAGATATTATTCTATATATATAGTAATTTAAAGAAAATGACACACGTCAAATTTCAAATCTATATATAAATACGTTTTTTGCAAACTAAATCACAATAGTCAAAATTTCCTAATTTCTATTTTGGAATTTTGTGCAAACAGCTATTAATTTTTTAATTTGAAAATGAATACTTAGAAACATAATATTTTTTTCTAAATATAACGCCAGAAATATATTGATCATCCTCTAACTGACAGACGTTATATAATCGTTAAACGATTGTTAGTGTTCAGTTTCTTTCTATTTTTTTAATCCAAAATATATATCAATCCAAAACTCTAAATTCAATTTGAGAGAGGATAATACATTTAGATTTCAAAAAAAAAAAAATTGTGTATGATTTTTTTAGTATACAATATAAATTTTTATTTTCCAAATAAATTTAATTTTAAAAATATCAATTAAATTAGAACACCTTTTGATGATTGATAGGGCTCAGGTTTTATCCAAATAAAACTACTGCAAGTGCACAGCAAAAGCAGTTGTAGTACAAGGGGTATCGAATCCCAAAAGAGTAATGTAGACTACACTATCGAATGTAGATTCAGATTAAGCTAAGCAGAATGTAATGTATGTAATGCGAATGAGTAAATCAAAGTAAGCAAACAATTTTTGTAAGATGATCTAAGTTTCAGAAGACTAAAAACGCTAAGTCAGGGCAGTTCGCAGGTTGAATCCAAGAATGTATAACGCAGGAAATCAGGAATGATTAAGAACCGTTTTAAACATGAATCACTGATGCATAACTAATCAATTCTCATTGCAAAAGTTATCTATGCATAAATCACAGAGTTTCAAATCTCTTTGCAAACCCTAACAACCTAACATGCAGGAATGATCAGATTCAATTGTTTACAAAATTCCCAAGACAAATCTCTTTGCGCTAAGTCGTTTTGCTCATCAAATACTAGTTCAGGTTATGAATAATGCTCTCACATATATTTAACAACCTATGATTTTCGGATTTCTAGATGATGTGTCTCAGAAATTCGATTTTAAAGCAAGCAAAGATGAAAAACCAAAAGATATTCCTAACAGATAGCGATTCTACAATCTCTTCATCAACCCTTGAAAAACCCTAACTTAACTAGCAGATTACTCAGACATGATTATTGAATCACAAAACATAACTGAATAATATTGCATTAAGAGAAAGAGTAAAAGAATAAGGGGGTTCGAAATCTTCTCAAAAGAGTACATGATTTGTCTCCCCAAAAAGCTCTGAATAAATCTCTCTCTAAGCTCTCTGAATTCTCAAAAACTAAGATAATGGCCAACAATGGCTGAAAAACCTAATAATTAGAGGCTAAACACGATCTGTGGTCTTCATGTAAATAATGGAACTTCTGGGCCAATTCTGCAAATCTTCTTTACACTTTTAATAAAACAGCCATGCTCCTTCCTTGATGGGTGTCGAGCGTCACCAAAGGTGGTGACGAGCATCACCATATGGGATACTTTCTGCTTCGAGTTTGGTACTTCATGGCTTCAACTCAGAATGCTCCAAAAGGTTCCAAAATCTCCAGTTATGCTTCATACATGCTATAACCTGCAAAAACTCTTCTAGGACTCTAAAAAGACCAAAAAGACTCATCAAAAAGGACTTATATCATGGTTAAAAACCATAAAAACCATGATATATCAACTTCTCCAGACTTAGCTTTTGCTTGCCCTCAAGCAAACATCAGACCAAGCATAAGGTCGAGGTTTGAAAACAAGAAACAGTCAGTCAGTCATCAGGAACACCACACTAGTTTGAACTTTCGAATCCACATACCACAGAGTCAACACAAGATCAAATTTCAGTCTAATCATTGTTGGGGTCGGTTTTCACCCAAGCGAGATCAATGGAAAAATGGCTAAGTATAGAAGTGATTCTTGGCGATGCCCAGAATTTGCACGGGCGAAGCCAATCACCTCGCCCAAACCGTGCACGGGCGAGGTGAACCATGCAAAACCCGGGCGAAGCCAATCACCTCGCCCAAACCGTGCACGGGCGAGGTGAACCATGCAAAACTCGGGCGAAGCCAATCACCTCGTCCAAACCGTGCACGGGCGAGGTGAACCGTGCAAAACTCGGGCGAAGCCAATCACCTCGCCCAAACCGTGCACGGACGAGGTGAACCGTGCAAAACCCGGGCGAAGCCAATCACCTCGCCCAAACTGTGCACGGGCGAGGTGAACCATGCAAAACCCGGGCGAAGCCAATCACCTCGCCCAAACCGTGCACGGGCGAGGTGAACCGTGCAAAACTCGAGCGAAGCCAATCACCTCGCCCAAACCGTGCACGGGCGAGGTGAACCGTGCAAAACCCGGGCGAAGCCAATCACCTCGCTCAAACTGTGCACGGGCGAGGTGAACCGTGCAAAACTCGGGCGAAGCCAATCACCTCGTCCAAACCGTGCACGGGCGAGGAAATTTCTAATCAAGCCCGGAGGCGAAGGCCCATGAAACAACAAGGCGAAGGCCCATGAAGCAACAAGGCGAAGGCCCATGAATCAATAAGGCGAAGCCCCAACTCAGACCCAAGGCCAAGCGATGTGCAAGTGGGCCGAGCCTAAATCCACGAAGAAGTCCGAAGCGGTGTTTACCCTAGAAGACGAAGCCTTGAAGAAGGGGGCGCCGCGAAGGGGATAAGGAGGGATTATCTACGCAAATATACTCCAAGATCTTCGTTTGGATTGCGACTAGGAGTTGAATAAATAGAGAGTTTAACTCATTAGCGCAGGACACCTTTTTTGGACCTAGCAAGAGACTTAGCAATACTTGTACCAAAAGCTTACGAAGCAACTTGAATAAAATCACCATCTTTGGATCTTTGTTCTCTCGTGTTTTAACTTAGAATCTTTACAACCTCTTTTATTTTTAACAGACAAATTCTATTGTGTGAAATCCAGCCCACACAATCTGGCGCTAGAAGGAGGGGGACTTAAAAGAATTCTTACACCCACGAACCGAGAGACAGAAGATCTGAAGAGATGTCCGCCGAAGCACAAGACGGAGATAACTCCGGAGTTGGGCAAGGCGGCGGAGGCGCGGGCGACGCGGTGCAACATCCGCAGACGCAAGCCGAGGCGCTCACAGCTGCCCTAGCCGAAGTGAAGGAGATGTTGGCGATGTTGGCGAGAAAGGCGGGAGAGCAAGACAAAACCCTCGAGGCGTTAGCAGCGGAGAGCCGAGCCCAAAGCCAACGCATCGGGAGCATCCTCCCACCAACAAATCCACCAGGCAGGTTCAGGAGACACGGACTCAACCCCACGGTACTCAATTTCTCTGCACCAGTGACGAACGGCGGCAGACCCGGAGGTTCAGGAGTTCTCCAATCGCGAACTGCCCCCGAAGAACAGACACCTGCCGCAACGAGGCCAAACACCATAATCCCACCACGCTTGAACCGGAGAGGCGTCGTCCAGGAGCAGGGGGGCCAACAGCCAGGCGCAACCAGTGACGAACCAGTTGGGAGCGAAGCCAATCCGGTTTCAGCCGAGGAGACGCAGACGGACCCGATCTAACTCGATGCAAACAATACCACGGCGATGCAGATCCGAGCCGAAGGGGATGTTGGCGACGCGGAGCACGAGCACGACTTGGACGAGGGAGACGAAGACCTCGCATGGGATGAACAAGCTCGATACCCTGAGGAGCACAGAACCCCAAATCGGAGCCATGCTACCCAGCGCGGACATGGGAGCCGAGATGGAGATGCCCTCAGCGAGATCCGAGCCGCCTTAGCCCGAGCAAATGCTGAGGTGCGAGCCATCAGATCCGAGGTGCATAAGGCAACCAGCACGGCGCCGGAGATAGACTTGCTGCTAGAGGAAGTCCAGAAGACCCCATTCACCGCTCGTATCACCGAGACGAGAGTGTCCGATCCGGGGAAAATCCGATTGCCCACCTACGAAGGAACTACCGATCCAAAGGAGCACGTCGGAACATTCAACACCGCGATGGCGAGATCCAAATTCAAGGAAAATGAACGAGATACCGGATTCTGCCTTCTTTTCGTAGAAAGCCTTCGAGGAGCAGCCCTTGAATGGTTTTCGCGCTTAGAAAGGAACTCGATCGACAACTTCAAGCAACTAACCAGGGAATTCATGAAACAGTATTCCATGTTCATGAACCAAGGTGTTTCAGACGCAGACCTTTGGACCATGTCTCAAGGGCCGACTGAATCGCTTAGGGCGTTCATGGGACGTTTTAAAGCAGTCATGTCGAAGGTGGAAGATGTAAGCGATAAGGGCGCACTCGTCGCCTTGAGAAAGTCTCTCTGGTATAAGTCGGAGTTCAGGAAGGAAATAAGTCGAAACAAGCCGCAAACCATCCAGGATGCCATGCACCGCGCCTCGGACTTTATACTAGAAGAAGAAGAATTCAAAACTTTAGACCAACGCTTTGGTTCGGGGAAGGCGAGCGGCAAGACTCAAGTCACAACGCCGAGTCAACCATCCCAAAAGAAGAGCTACCAGAGCAACTCGTACATACACCATAAAGGACCGAGTTTCCGTGGAGCCCATAACTATCAAATAGGCACAGGCCGCGGCAAACTCCCGTGGAGTAACACCTGGACGAGAAACCCGAACTCGTATGATGAAAAAGCGTACTGCGAAGTGCACAAGACCTACGGACATCCGACGTCAAAGTGCCGAAAAATCGGAGCGAAACTCACGGAGAAACTCATAGCAGGAGAGCTCGGCGACGCAGTGACCTTAAAGGATCTCGAAGGAGAAATTGCGGAAGAAGCAGAGCAACGAGGTGACCCAGCTCCAGAAGA